GAAAATAATGTAGACACTATTTCCAACCTTGAATAAACAAAGTTGTTTAAACATTTGTTTAACAACGAGTAAAAGCTTGGAATGGTCTATTCTTTCATTGGGGTGTGTGTCTGTGAGGCAGACTAGTTTCGGAGAATTCCACTCCTCATCAGTGAACCTGGACACTACCACCAATGAAATATCAGACCAAACCAAGCCAAGTAGTGAGGTATATCTCCAACCTTGTTTGCTTCCTTTTGGGGGGGGGGGGTTCCTAGTTGTAACCTTGAAAATATAGTATTTGCATTTTGATTTAACTTATTTGATAGATTGTTTAGGCAGAATATTCATGATGAAACTTGGTTGAATGGACGGCAACTGCCTGTTGTAGAAACACAAGTATAGAGAACGAGGTCATACTCTACAGTAGTGTTTCTACAACAAACAGTTGCCGTCCATTCAACCAAGTTTCATCATTGATTCAACATGTTTCTGTACTATTTTGACGATCTATATTCCTCCTTTTTAAATTAACTGTTATTGCTAATCTTTTATATATCTAGATCAACCAGAAACATCATATAACTCACTACTTTTTCTCGGTTGAATTAGAAGTTTAAACTGAAAATATATTGAAGTTTTTACTTACATTCTTGATACGTTTTAACCTGCCGATGACCGTTTTCTGTGAGGCAGTTATAAGTATAAATAATGTTATTAGCAGGACCAATTAGGTTCATTTAAAACATATATTGTCATTTCAGCTATGTTCATATTTGCTGAGGATTATTCCAAATCATACATCATTGTTTGTTTGTGTAGCATAAAGCTACACCAGGGATATCGAAACCAGCTTATTTAACATTGTAAGCATTCAGACTTACCACTGAGCCACTGGGAGAAATAGATGTACGTTAATAGAAATGTTTAATTTAGAGTAAAGAATAAAGATTTAATTATTCTGGCCCCTCCGTGGGTAAGTTCACGGACTTACAACGCAAAAATTTTGGGATTGATTTCCCGTGGTGGACACAGCAGATAGTCCAATTTGGCTTTGCGCTAAAACACTGAAAGTAATTGTGCTATAACTTGTGGTGCCACTCGCGGAAAAATGGCAAGCTTGAGAGCTTGTAACGCTAAAATACAAGGTTCGATACACGCGAATTGCACAGTGCGTATAGCCCAGTATATAGCTCTGCGCTTTGAAACTGGTTGTTATTAAGCACAAAGCTACACAATGAGATATCTGTACTCTGCCTACCACGGGTATCGAAACCAGGTTTTCTGTGTCGTAAGCCTACAGACTTACCACTGAGCCACTGCGGTTGGAAGGGGGTGGTGTTTAAAAACAAATGAGCTAGTTATGACTAAATGTAAACATTATGTTGGTATGAAAAATGGTTTATTTTCAAATTGTAATTTTCTCCACCAATTTTATGAGCTAGACGTAAATATAGAAATTATGCAAATAAAAGTTTCTATAACTCCAATCTATAAATAGAAAGTATATATATAAAAGTTTCTATAACTCCAAACTATAACTAGAAAGTATATATATAAAAGTTTCTATAACTCCAAACTATAACTAGAAAGTATACAAATAAAAGTTTCTATAACTCTAAACTATAAATAGAAATTATACAAATAAAAATTTCTATAACTCTAAACTATAACTAGAAAGTATATATATATAAAAGTTTCTATAACTCCAAACTATAACTAGAAATTATACAAATAAAAGTTTCTATAACTCCAAACTATAATTAGAAAGTATATATATAAAAGTTTCTATAACTCCAAACTATAACTATAAATTATACAAATAAAAGTTTCTATAACTCCAAACTATAACTAGAAATTATACAAATAAAAGTTTCTATAAGTCCAAACTATAACTATAAATTAT